ACCCCAAAAAAAAAATTAAGTTTGTTTTTAAAAAATATTTTCAATTTCAACAATTATTTTCTACTCTAGAAAAAATAAAAGAAATTTTTCAAAAACATTTTTCATTCATAAATCAAACACTAAAAATCTTTTTCGAAAAATATTTGCTACTCACCAACCAAACATGAGAAAATAAGTCAAAAATCAACTTATTTTCCAAGAAAACATTTTCCTTCGTACCAAACACACCCTAAGACTAACATATTAGATTGGGACTTATATTTTAAAATAATAGTGCAGGATCATTGGACCAATTACCCTATACTCAATATTGGAAAAATTATGCAATAATGTAAATAGGTGCTTTGTATTTATTTTATGTAACTATAATTTAAAATTTATATTACATAATTATATTTAAGATTTTATAGCAAATCTCTCTTTTCTCTTCCTCTCTCTCCTACTTTCTTGTCCCTCTTCCTCTCTCTCTATATTTATATTGATATTTTATGGTACGATACAAAATTTAATCCCCCGTTATATATAGGTAATTTTCTTTATTCTTCTTCTGAAGTGGTCAATAAAGATTATCATGAGTCTTTAAAAATCTAACCTTATGGGCATTACCATTGAAATGTAGGAGCTTGTTCAACTAAGAAAAAAGTACTACAAGATTCTTCAGAATTGAAGAAATTGTGTTCCTCCATCTTAACATATTGTGTTAATACATATGATTGCGATGGTTGATATAATTGTATTCATTGATAAACGTGATACATAGTGAATACATAAAAAATTAATATACTTAGATACAATACTCATTTATACACGTGATACACAATGAATGTACAAGAAATAGATATACTTGATACAATTGTATTTGTTGATACACGTGATACATAGTGAATACACTTGATAAAATTGTATTAGTTGATATACTTGATATATTCGTTGATACAAATTATATTTGTTGATACAACTGTATTTGTTACACTACTAAAAAATTAGTACTTTCCACCAAAATTTCCCACTGAAAAAAGTTTAGTGGCTAGTAGCACAAATTTTTTGATTGAGTCAGTGAGAAGAAAAAATAATAATGTTTTCATACAGAAAATCAGGAAATTTTTCACTATTTTAGTGAGAATCTATTTCTCACCATGCATTTTTCCAGTGAATTGGTTTGGTGAAAAATCATGTTATATAGCACGAATATCTCATTGATTCATTATGGGAAAACTTTTATTTCTGGTAATGTTAATACACTTGATATAATTGTATTTGTTGATACAAATCAATTATGTATTTGTGATACAACCGTATAAAACAAATACAATATGCATTCACTCTCTCTCTCTCTCAAATCTTGCCCGCCTCTCTTCTCCCTCTCCCAATCTCGATCGTCTCTCACCTCATTCTTATATGTAGAGGCGAACCCAAGATTTGAAGACTTTGGGTGCATCAATCTAAACATAAAATAAAAACAACAAAACATGGCTTTAGCTGGATTCGAACCTTGGTCTCGCAAGTGGTACCCTTGGCTTGTACTAGCGGTACAAGGCACTCTTATACTCTTCATGGGTACACGGTTAATTATATCCTAATTTATGCCAGTTTCCCAAGATAGATATACATATTCATTTTCGAAATTAACGGATGTACGTGCACCCCAATTTTACATATGAATCCGCCTCTGCTTACATGTAACTATGAATCCTAATTAAATCCCAATTTAAAGTTCAAAACTTCTGAAATATGGGTTTGAAGTTGAACTTTACAGAATAACATTAACATAAAGTCCAAGTCCAATTAATAGTAACTCCAGAAGGGAGAAGAGGGAAAGCTATTACTGGTCTGGTAGAATGATTGACGACACCCTACTCTAGCTATGTTACTCAGTCTTTACAAAAATGTTGGGCATGTTGAATCTTTTAAAAGTAGTGCATTTTAGAGAATCCGACACAGATACACTAACACTTTTGAAAAGTCCGAGCAAAATATCCTCTAAATGTTTCTTAAAAACACACAAAAAAAAAAAAAAAGGAAAAGTGAGGTTCTACCGAGATTTGAACTCGGGTTACTGGATTCAGAGTCCAATGTCCTGACCACTAGACCATAGAACCATCTGTGTTGCAATATTTGTCCCAAATATAAATATATTATTTCTGTCTTAAGCAAAACACTAATTCAAAATTTATAAAGCCAAATACATAGTGCCTTTTGAATCAAAATAGTTTTTTAAAGTAATTTTATAGTGTTTGAGTAAGATAAAAAAAAATTATGTAAGTTTAAGCACGAACAACCTCTTTATCTCTAATTTTTGCTTTTAATGCCAATTTAAAAAAGTATTTTCAAGTATGACATAATTTTACTAGATAATTTTTATTTTATTTAAAAAAAAATATCTAAATTCAGTATTATCTAATTCAATTATAAATTCATGTCTTACTATATATAAATATAGTTTTAATATTTTATGCTTTAAAAAATTCATATTGCAGGTATTACATGGTGTGAGAGTTTATTCCGTGCGGTCAAAGTGCTTACCTAAAACGGGCCGGTTAATTTTTCTCTTTACTTACTTGTTTCTACATTAACCCCCAATATTCATTTTGAGCTTTTATTAGTACTTGTTTAGTATTGTAGTCAAAGTGTTTGTGAAAATGCCTCAATGAAAGTTGATAACTTTATGTCAAAATATGACTTTGCTCTTTGTGATTTTGTCTAATTGCAGTTAAGGGTTTTTGTTGGAGCAGTTGAATAGTGATGTTTCTTCACAGAGTTGGATTAAGAACAGCATTACCTTTATCAAGAAGGTTATTTAGTAGTATTGGTAGCCATGATATGTCTAAAGCTATTTCCGAGCTCAATCAGGTATACCTTAAGCAAGTGCTTAGTTAAGCGTTTGGTCATGAAATTTAATCTGATCAAGAACATTTTCAAGTACCCAAAATCTGGCTTAGATCAGTGTTTGGAGTTTTGGGATTTCCACTCACAAAAGTTCAAATCTTTTCTGAGTAAAATGCATGTTCAAATTCCAAGAATCTCAACTTTAAAAACTCAAATTTGCAAGTTTCAACTTCAAAATTTATGGCCAAATGGAAGCTGAAGTTTTGTTTCAAGATTTTAACGTTTTTCTTTTTGAGACTTTAGGCTTATGTTTACTTATTACTGATCTTTCTGATGAAGACATTTTAAAACGAATCAGCTGATTGATTTAAATAATCTATCCAGAATCTCATTCTCTGTTCGGTGGGGCAACTAACGGGTTGAATGGGTTGGTGTCGATAGATACCGAGCTATGTTTTTTAAAGTTCCTACCAGAATGTCTTTTCTTAATGCCAACTTACGTGGAAAATGCAGATAGAGGGCCTATTACCTCTTGTCAGCTTCTATTGAATAAACCTTGGAGTTTGTGCATGAACCAATTATGTTAGTTGGTCAAAATGTTTGCTTATGTGCAGCCAGAGCTTTGAGAATGACTTAATCTGCAGAGTGTAAAAGATGAGACTTGAAAGTTTACCGGGTTCTTACTAATCAAAAGTGGGAAAACGGAGGAGATAGTTAATTCTGGACTTGTATTTTGCAAAAGAATATAAGTATTTAATCTCATATTCTAATTGGTTATTACTCATGACTCACGAAGGAGACATAGCTTTAGCCGTTGAACCTGAAACAATTTTTATGAGCTGTCAGTGACCGACTTCATTTTATTAGCCGTAATTATTTGCTTTATTGCTTGAATCTTGTAAAAAATAGGCGTTGGATGCTTTCTGAAAAATTGAGCTCATCTTCTTACTAGGAAATGGAATCTGTATTTGGTGAACCTCCTCCATCTAGCCTTTCTGGTTCCATTGACAATCAAACTATGACACAAGACTTGAAGCTTAGTACTGTAGAAATGGATGATAAAAAATCTTTTGCTGGATTGACACATATTGGCAGCAAAGGTGAAGCTCAAATGGTGGATGTATCTCTTAAAGATATTAGTAAGAGAGTGGCCATTGCACGTGGCAAGGTTATTTTAGGACAGAAGGTATTTGATCTGGTTTCAGCCAATCAAATGGGAAAAGGAGATGTCCTGAGTGTGGCAAAATTAGCTGGAATTTGTGGAGCGAAGCAAACAAGCAATCTCATCCCACTATGTCACAACATCAACTTGACACATGTTCGAGTGGACTTGGCTTTGAACCCTCAAAATTTTAGCGTTGAAATAGAAGGGGAAGCTGCCTCAGATGGAAAAACTGGTGTGGAGATGGAAGCCTTGACAGCAGTAACTGTTGCTAGTCTAACAGTGTATGACATGTGCAAGGCCGCTTCAAAGGATATTCAGATTACAGATATCAGGCTTGAACATAAAACTGGAGGTAAAAGTGGGGACTGGTCCAGGGACAAATGATCACAATCTAAAGACGTGAGAAGGCAAGTGCATTAACAGCATGAAAGCCAGTGCTTGCGGGAATTATGTATGTCACTTCCATTCCATCAAATGTCCCTTTGCTATAATGTGGTAATTCTGCATTAGGATATAAGTAGATAGCTAGTGAAAAGATGGTCCGTCCATAAACATAAAATCATGATACTTCTGAAGTTGATTTTAACTAGGATCTGTTAAGTGTACGACATTTGTTTGAGAATATTTTCCTTGCACTCCTATCTATTAACTACTCTACTAATTATTTTGCCATGGTTAATTAGATTTAGTTACAGGAGCATAAAAAACATCCACTCTATTAGTTCTTGAAGTACACAGCACAACCTCTGCGAGTTTCATCGCAAGCCTCTCAGGAAATTTACACCCTAAATACACTAGTAAATATAGTGAAGGAACAGTTACATCTCAGTAAAACTAGAATTTCAAAAATTACTTGTTTGAAAAGATCAAGAATTTGAGATGTAACATTCAGCTAGTTAAAAGAACATGCTCGCAAGAGCAATATCAAGGCTTTCCTCCAACAGTGTTGGTACTTGGTAGTATTTACTGTGTTATCATATGTCACTGGAAATATTTGATACTGTTACTGTGATATCATGATATGTCGCTGAAGTATTTGAAGTTGTGTTTTTTTTTTGTGTGTCAATGTATAGCGCATAGCTAAGGTCACTGAAGTATTTGAATAGAACAGTTGGAATACAATAAAGAGCTGATGGCTCAAATATGTGTTACACACAACCAATTGTAGATTTATTTATTTATTTTTTTATTTTTTTTTGATAACCGAGAAATCCGTCTGTGACCCGCCCTTTGGACCAATCACAGCCTTCTAAACTCGGTGGATAATGAGCCCGCCCCTCTACCCTTCTCCACTTAAATACCGGGCTTCGCTTTGCATGGTGTGGGGCTTGAAC